ATGCCTAGAACCTCATTAATGAAACCATTGCGCAGGCCGTGTGGTAGACAAAATATTTTTAGTTATAGATGGGCACATTATCTTTATTTTATTTATTTTATGTGGTGCTGGGGATCAAACCCAGTGTCTCACACATGCCAGGCAAGTGCTCTACCACTGAGCTACAACCCCATCCCCTGCATGAGTTACTTGAGGAACTCCTGAAAAGATCTCCAGGTATCCAGAGAGCCTGGGGCCATGCTTCCTCTTTGAGAAATTCTGCTTAGAGTACAACTAGTTAATGTGTTTTAAGACTTTTTGTTTTCATTCTCATAAGTATAATAAGAGTATGGCTTGATACATATAAAGAAATTAAAAGCGATCATTATAGTGTTGTATTAAATGGTAAACACATATACACAAACACACACAGTCAGTCCCCAACTTACAATGGTTCCACCTAGTGATATTTTTATTTTATAGTGGGTACAGAAGTGATTTGTATTCAATAGAAATCATACTTCAAATTTTTAATTTTATATTTTCCTAGGATGTGGATTATGTGACTCATACTTTCTTGCAATGCTGAGCTGTGGCAGTGAGCAGCTGCTCCTAGTCAGTCATGTGACCAGCAGTGTAAACAACTGGTATTCTATAGTGTGCTATGTGCTAAAGCTATGATAGTAATTTAGGTGTATTAAATGCATTTTTAATTTGTGATAATTTCGACTTGCAGTGTGCTTACTGGGATATAACCCTATCCAAAATTAAGGAGCATCTGTACATATTTGACTCTAGGTAAAATATATATTAATTCACGCATCCAGAGATGTTGTTTATGGTTCTAGATTCAGTCCCCTTGATTCTGTGATCCCTTAGGATTCTGAGGATAGAATGTAATGTAGAAATTTATAATTCCATAGGAATCAAGCAATGACCTAGTTCAAAGAAGGAGTCTTTCATAAGAATTTTGTAAGTATGCTATTAGAAAGCATTCTTCAGTCTATTCCCAATTTCATATCTCTAATTACTATGGCAACTCAGATCTGTGACAAATATTTTCTGAATGCTCCTGTTGGTGAAATAAAATTTAAAACAAAATCTCTCAACCCAGAACATCTCTCCACAAACACAGATAATGCAAACAGTTTTGGTTGTTGAATAAACATTAAACCAAAATGTGATGTCTATCATAGGCAAGCTACTAAGAGATCACAAAATCAAAGAAATATCATCTTTTTATACAGTGATGCAGAAACAGTCCAATACATACATGTTCTCAAGGTAAACAATAGCTAGTTCTAAAATAAGACTTAACAGCTCCATTTGTCGCACATAGTTCATCCTAGAGTCACCTGGTAATTAAGGTAACTGTTAGCTAGTCAGCTTCATCCAAAGGAAAAACAAACTTCTCATGTTTTTGTGACAGGAGGTCGTTTTATAACTTGGATCATCACTTGAATAGGGTCCTACTTCAAGTTTACAATCTAGTAAGGGGAACCAAGAATGACAAATAATTATATTGGTTTTAGTTGATTCAGAGCTATGGAGAAGCAGAAGCAGCTAACAGTTTCTAACAGGGAAACTAAAAGTTGCCTGGGGGAATCTGGGTTTCCTTGAGAAAATTTGAATTAAGTTGAGAGGTGACAGATGATTTAGATTTCTAGGAATAGGGAACCACAAGATGTGAAGGCCTTAAGTTACAAAGAGCCAAATGTGTTTCAAGAGCCAAGAGAATGCTAATGTAAACTGGAAGGAGCAAAGGACAGCCCCCAAATGGAGCTGGAAGATAAGCTGGGGCCAGGCCATGCTGGGTCCTGTACTCACCAAGATAAGAATTTTGAACTCTATCCCAAGAACTGTGAGAGCCAACTCAAAAGTTGTTAGTAAAGTTGAGGTAGGATAGAAGGCGTGAGAAATAAATAGAAAGGAGACATAAAGGGTGGGGTGGTGCACACCTGTAATCCCAGAAGTTCAGGAGGCTGCAGGAGGAGGATCCCAAATTCAAAGCCAATTTCAGCAACTTAGTGAGACCCTGTCTCAAAGTAAAAAAAAAATAAAAAGGGCTGAGGATCTTTCCCAATGGTTAGATACCCCTGGGTTCAATCTCCAATACCAAAAATCAAAATAAAGCAAAGCAAAACAAAAACAAAAACAAAAAAAAACACAAAGGAAGGAAAAGGAAAAAAGATTTTAAGGATTTTAATTCAAAAATACTTCAAACTTTTCCAGGCCCTTTGCTCCCTGAGCTGTCCTCCCTTGCCAGCTTGTTACTCCCCAATTCCTGGGAAATCTGTAATTTTATCTGTGAATCATTAATTAAACCCCCAATAAATAGACTAAGCAAGAGCAAATATGATGTTTCAAGGAAACGATAATTTAAGGGACTTTTCCAGCACGACTGAATGATCAGATAAGGAAAACCATGTCAGCCTGAAGATCTTGACTGTCCAGACCACCATAAACCGTCTTGAGATTGCCAGACTGGGATCTTCCTACATAGACACCCCTTTACATAGGTATGTATGTGCGTACTCACTGGGGACTGACCCCAAGGGAACTACTGTACTACATCCTCAGCTTTTTTTTATCTTGAGAAAGTCTCATTAAGTTGGTTAGGGCCTAGCTAACTTGTCGAGGCTGGCTTCAAACCTGTGATCTTCCCGCCTCAGCCTCCGGAGTTGCTGGAATTCCGTGCGCCACCGTCGCCACGCACCAAGTTTCCCTTAAAATAACTGCAGGGGAACTGTTCAAACCTGTCTCTCACTCTGAATAAGGACCTGCATTCTCCCTTGAAGGTGTACCTACGTTTCTAAATGACCCGTCGATGTCCCCAGCTGGCACGTATTGAAATTATTTTCCCTTCTATGCCAAGAACCCCGCTGGTACTGAGTCGAGTCCCCCCCTTCTTCCCGGGAACTCTTCTTCGGACTCCGCTTCGGACGCTTTTTCTCTCGTGTCAAAATGACCTGATAAAGATTTGCAAAGCTGCTTCACAATAAAACTTTTCTAACCCCAAATTATACTAAGCGCCGATGGCGCGCGCCTGTAATCCCAGAGGATCGGAGGCTGAGGCAGGAGTTCAAAGCCAGCCTCAGCAAAGCAAAGCACTAAGCAACTCAGTTAAGACATTATTTCCAAATAAAATACAAAATAGGGCTGGGGATGTGACTCAGTGGTCAAGTGCCTCTGAGTTCAATCCTCGGCACCCCCACTTCCCCCAAAATTGTAGTAAGCACAAATCCATCACATCGGGAAGGGACACTACTCCAAGAAATCCTGGTGAGCCACATTGGTGAGCCTAGTATAAACCAAGGTGAGTAGCAAAGAAAGTCTCAACAGCTACCAGATTTGTTTCTTTTTGGAGGCTTAAATTAGTCCTATTAAGTAACTCTCTTCTCTGAATTCAAGTGAGCATAATGTCAGCAGAGAAAGTTTCAGACAACAAAAATTTAAGTGGAAAAAAAAATGCTTTTTGTTGTTCAGTGTATTGCTGTTCTGTGTACTGTTCCAGGGTGAAGAAGGGGGAAAGAGAGGACAATGAAGCACGCCGCTCCCACCGCAAATTCTAGAGGCACCATTAAATTAGGAATTTAAGATGTATTCTAGTCCAACCCCTAATAAGTTACACGTGAGTTATGTAGTTTAGATAATTTGTGATTTCCTTTTGGCCTAACTTAAATGTATCATATAAGAAAAAACAAAACCCCCAAAACCTGTGAGTAGGATTCACTTTCCTTCTGGAGAGCTGAGCGGTTACAGTTTATGATACGCCTTTTAATACGATTCTCCAAACTGGAAGGCAGTTTGCAGCAGTAAAAATCAGAACGCCCGCGGAGCCTGAGCAGAACCTGCAGGGAGCCCAGTTGGCACCGCTCAGCGAAGCTGCGAGTCACTGGAGCTGGGGTCACCGGGCCCAGGCGCCACCCTCCTATTCGCAGGAGAGCGGGCATTTACTCCGTATCTGAGAAGCCAAGATTGGAAACTTCCTGTTGGGAAATTTTGATGCCTTGTCCAGACTGGGATCCCTTTGAAAACACCCTTCAATTAGAAAGGAAAACTCTCCAAAAGAAAATGGAATGCGCGAATCTGGCTAAACCCTAGCATATCCTTGTAGCTCCTCAAGGTAGGGGACTTGGAGCGTGCCTGGACTTCGCGGGGCCACGTAGGCGTCCAGGCCCAGGCTCGGGGCGGCGGGGCGGGCTGCGGCGACCGCGGCGGCGGGAGGACCCGGCGCTGGGGGCGCTGAGCGCGGCCGCAATTCTGGAGCCCGACGAGCCGCGTCAGCGGAACCGGCGGCTTCCGGCCGCGGCGTAAACAAGGGCCCTGGACTGCTGGAGGCGGGGCGCAAGGCTGCTAGAGCTAGCCAGTCGAGTGGGCTGCCCTCCCCTCGCTGCTCCTGCCCTGGGCCCCACTGCTGTCCCTCGCCCCCGACCCACTGCACGCAGGGCGCCGGGGCGGTGGAGATCTGAGCTCGGAAGAGCAGGGCGGGAGACCGCACTGGCGGCCAGCAGGCCTGCACGCCGCGCCTGTCATCGCCTCTGCCTTCTCCTGGCTACGCGCCGCTTTGCATTTCTTTCCTTTTCTTTGTCTCTTCCCGGCTCACAAGTGTGGACATTCTTGGTGCACGAAAGTGCAGCCTCAAGATGGCTGATGGCAACGAGGATCTGCGGGCGGATGACTTGCCAGGGCCAGCTTTTGAGAGCTATGAGTCCATGGAGCTCGCCTGCCCAGCCGAGCGCAGCGGCCACGTAGCCGTCAGCGACGGGCGCCACATGTTCGTCTGGGGCGGCTACAAGGTCAGTGGGGGGCCGGCGGGCTTCGCTTGGCTGGTGCGCGAGCCGGTCAGTGGCGAGGCGAGCAGCTGGTCAGTGGCCAGGCGGGCAGCAGGAGCGGGCTGTCCAGGGCGCTTCCCAAATCTCTCGCCACGCGACTCTACCCGTTGGTTCTTTTACTTGGGTGTGTGTGTGTGGGGGGGTGTCTTCTCGTGAGTCCCCCAACCCGTCTCAAGGCTCCACGGCGGTTGTCACGTCAACCTTAGCTTACAAAGCCCGCTTGCCGCGCCCGCCCCCCCCCCGCATTGTTGCTATTGGAGCGTTATTCTGGAGAGGGCACTGTTAATGTGGGTTGGTGGTGGCTGACTACGGAACAGGTTTTATTTAAAAGGGTTGGGGGTGTGTAAGGAGATGGCGTTTTGAGGTCACCCGGACCCTTTGTCCAGACTACTCAGGAGAACTTTACCTATGAAGCTGAGGCCAGCTGGGCCATAGGTAGCCTTGCCCACTTACGGGGTGGCCCAGATGTAGGAATACCCTGGAATTCTGCAAGGCCACGGAATCGCCTTCTTCAACCTCCCCGCCTGTGCCGTAAGCAGTACCAGCTACACCAGACTATTGTTTGAACACAACCATTTTCCCTCTGGTTTCAGCCGTGAAAGGGTTGAAGTTTTTAAGAAGAAACCTCCATTTAGAAAATTAATGGAGTATTTCCACCACTAACCAACCAGTAACCCCTAGTAACATGTTATTAGATCGCAGCTCTTTACTCTAATCATAAAACGTGCTTAGTTCAGTTTAGAGCCAGTTGCACCGCTTCTCCCGCCCCGCCCCGCCCACCGAGGAGTCCTACCCAGATGTCTTCTGTGTAAAACTGTGCTCATTCGTTCTCTTTCTTTTATTGGTTTTCGTTTTCCAGTGACACTCTACATTCTAGAATTCTCTTATTAGCTGGGGTGACTGTGATCCATTTCGACCACGAAATCCTTTATTCTTTTTGGTTTTGTAAGTGGTCAAGGGAGCATTGTCTAATATGTCTGAGACCCCAAGTTCAATCACATGTCCCGCGGAGGTTTCATTTGCCGGGGGCTGGGGGAATTGCTTCAGGGGTAGACCTGTAGACTGGCCTCGCACTCCGGAGGCCTTGGTTGGGTGGGGAGGATCTCCCTCTAGACTCGAAATCTAGTTTCTTGCACCTATGCCTTAAATGAGTTGTGACTCTGGTAACAGTTTAGCTCATGGTACAATTGATCTGATCACAGTTGACCAATTTTGAGGTAGCTCCCAAAGACAGCTGTCCTGACACTGTCATTTGGTTCAACTGCAAAAGTACTTTTCTTTTCCAATCCTAATTAACCTGCCATGTTTTCCCCAGCTTCCCATGAATAGGTGTGTAGAAGGTTGGGGAATGGAACTGTGAAGAGGGAGACAGTAGGCACAGGAAACCCTTGGAGATTGTTTGAAAGGTAGTAATCTTTGGCTTCCTTCATAGTAGTGTTTTTCTCCCCATGTCAGGCTGGTCTCATTGAGATCAGGATTGGGGGTATGGAATTGTGAAGAGGGAGGGATTAAGTATGTAGTGATCATTATTAAAATGTAAATACTTTTGAGGGGGAAACAGCATTCAATTACACTTCAGTCTATTACTACTTTATAATTCTTATCAGTAAAAATCAGCATTGAAGGAAAAGGATTTTCAGGTTGTTGGGAGGAAGAGGACCATCACAGCAGATTTCTGATTAATTTATGAGGTCCTGGGGGTAATTTATGAGGTTGGGG